ATCACCCCGCCCGGCCACGGCACCCGCCGCCGCGCGCGCGTGCTGCTCGACCCGGCCCAGTACCAGATCGACGTCGAGCGCGGCATCGTCGACCAGGTCTACGGCGACGTCAACATCGTGCTGCGCCGCAAGCCCAAGGAAAACAACTTCAAGGCCATCCTCCACACCATTCGCGACCTCATGAACTCGCCCGCGGCGGTGCCGGCCTGGCTCCACGACGTGTTCCTCGGCTACGGCGACCCCGCGGCCGCCCGCGGCGCACAGGCCCGCGGCTGGATCGACTTCCGCGACACATTCCTCGACTACGACCACCTCCGCCACTCGTTCCCGGGTCTCCGCCTGGCGCCCACCACCGACGACGAGGCCGCCCTGCGCCCGCCCTTCCAGCTCCGCTTCCCCGAGGCCGACGGCGGCAGCAGCGAAGGCGGCGCGGAGCCGGGCACGGTCGAGGTGCGCCCGTACACGCAGAAGAACCGCGGGCCGTACCCGTACGACCAGCCCAAGCGCAACGCCATCCCCTTCACCCCCAAGCAGGTCACCGCCATCCGCTCCGCCATGAACGAGGTAGAGACCGGCTCCTCCTTCAGCTCTACTCTCGTGTTCCTTTTTGCTCACCACTCGCCATGTCGTGTCGTGTGTCGTGTCGTGCGCGGCGGGGTTGACAGGGGTTGACGATGGTGGTGGGTCCGCCCGGTACGGGTAAGACGGACGTGGCGGTGCAGGTGATCTCCAACTGGTATCACAACTACCCGGACCAGCGCATCCTCCTCATCACCCACTCCAACCAAGCCCTCAACCAGCTCTTCGAGAAGATCATGGCCCTCGACATCGACGAGCGGCACCTGCTGCGTCTCGGACACGGCCAGAAGCTGCTCGAGACCGAAAAGGACTTTGGCAAATACGGACGCGTCGAGTGGATGCTCCAGAAGTACGCCCACACACCGCACACGACGCACCGCACACATGCACTGACGCGTGTGTTTGTGTGCTGTGTGCGCACACAGGCGTCTGAGGAACCTGGAGCTTGTGCAGAAGCTGGCGCGGGCGATCGGAGCCGAGGGCGACTTTGGATGGAGCTGCGAGTCGGCCGCGCACCTGTACTCGCTCCACGTGCGCCCGGCGTGGGACAACTACAAGGCCCGCCTCGGCGCCGCCGACCCGGCCGACCCGGCCGCCGTCGCCGCCCACTTCCCCTTCGCCCGCTTCTTCGACGACCTGCCCGACCACGTCCCCGGCCAGCCGCTCTTTGCCGGCGTGTCGCGGGCCGACGACGAGGAGACCGCGCGCGGCTGCTTCCGCCACATTCGCGCGCTGTTCACCCACCTCGACGAGTGCCGGCCGCTCGAGCTGCTCCGCACGGGCCACGACAGGGCCGACTTCCTGCTGATCAAGCAGGCTCGCATCGTGGCCATGA